AAAGAGGAGAAATTACAACTGATACTACAGAAATATAAAGGATCATAAGAGACCACTATGAACAATCATATGCCAAGAAATTAGACAATATAGAAGAAATGGATAAATTCTTCGAATCATACAGTCTTCCAAGACTGAATCATGAAGAAATAAAAAATCTGAACAGACCAATTATTAACAAGGAAATTGAATCAGAAATCAAAAACCTCTCAAAAAACAAAAGTCCAGGACCAGATAGCTTCTCTGGTGAATTCTACCAAACATTCAAAGAAGATTTAATACCTATCCTTCTCAAACTCTTCCAGAAAATTGAAGAGGAGGGAATGCTTCCAAACTCATTTTATGAGGCCAGCATTACCCTGATACCAAAACCAGACAAGGACATCACAGAAAAAGAAAATTACAGTCCAATGTCCCTGATGATCATAGGTGCAAAATCCTCAACAAATATTAGCAAACCAAATTCAGCAATATAAAGGATCATACACCATGATCAAGTGGGATTTATTACAGAGATGCGAGGCTGGTTCAATATCCACAAATCAATCGTGATACACCACATTTACAAAATGAAAGATAAAAATCATATGATCATCTCAATGGATGCAGAAAAAGCATTTGACAAACTTCAATATCCATTTATGATAAAAACTCTTAACAAAGTGAGTTTAGAGGGAACACGCCTTAACATAATAAAGGCCATATATGACAAGCCCACAGTTAACATCATACTCAATGGTGAAAAGCTGAAAGCTTTTCCTCTAAGATCAGAAAAAGACAAGGATGCCCGCTCTCCCCGCTTTCATTCCACAGAGTACTGGAAATTTTTGCCAGGGCAATTACACCAGAAAAAGACATAAAAGGCATCCAAATTGGAAAGAAGGAAGTAAAACTGTCACTATTTGCAGATGACATGATTTTTCATATAGAAAATCCTAAAGACTCCACCACAAAACTGTTAGGACTAACAAATGAATTTGGTAAATTTGCAGAGTACAAAATCCATATAAAAAAATAAGTTGCATTTCTATACCCTAACAACAAACTATCAGAAAGAGAAATTAAGAAAACATTCCTATTTACAGTTGCATCAAAAAGAATTAAATACCAAGGAATAAATTTAACCAAGAGAGTGAAAGACCTGTACACTGAAAACTGTAAGTTATTGATGAAAGAAATTGAAGAAGATTTCAGTGCTCATGGATTGGCAGAATTAATATTGCTAAAATGTCTATATTACCCAAAGCAATATACAGATTCAATGCAATACCTATCAAGGTTCCACTGACATTTTTGACAAAAATAGAGCAAAGAATCCTAAAATTTATATGCAACCACAAAAGAACCTAAATAGTCAAAGCAATATTGAGAAAGAAGAACAAATCTGGAAGCATCAACACTTCCTGATTTCAAACTATATTATAAAGCTATGGTAATCAAAACAAAAGATTTTGACATAAAAACAGACACAAAGAATAATGGAACAGAATAAAGAACCCCAAAATAAACCCACGTGTGTATGGTCAATTAATTTATGAGAAAGGAGGCAAGAATGTACATGGGGAAAGGACAGTCTCTTTAATAAATGGCATTGGGATAACTGGGAAGCCACATGCTAAAAAAGGAAACTGGATCACTATTTTGTACTATACACAAAAGTTAACTCAAAGTGGATTAAAGACTTGAATGTAAGACCTGAAACCATGAAACTTCTAGAAGAAAACATAGGCAGTAGGCTACTTGACATCAGACTTGGTGATGAATTTTTGTATCTAACTCCAAAAGCAAAAATAAACAAGTGGGACTACATAAAACTAAGAGCTTTTGCACAGCAAAGAAAACCATTAACATAATGGAAAGACAACCTATGAAATGGGACAAAATATTTGCAAATCATGTATCTGATAAGGGATTGAAATAAAAAATATATAAAGAATTCATAAAACTCAAAAGCCAAAAAAACCCAATATGAATAAAAAGTGGGCAGAGGACCTGAATAGACATTTTTCCAGAGAAGACATACAGATGGCCAATGGGCACATGAAAATGTGCTCAACATCACTAATCATCAGAGAAATACAAATCAAAACCACAATGAGATATCACTTCGCACCTTTTAGAATGGCTATTATCAAAAAGACAAGAAATAACAAGGGTTAGTGAGACTATGGAAAAAAGGGGACCCTGGTGCACTGTTGGTGGGAATGTAAATGGATGCAGCTATGATGGAAAACAGTATGGAGGTTCTTTAAAAAGTGAAAATAGAGCTACCAAATGATCTACCAGTTCCACTCCTGGGTATTTACCTGAAGAAAACAAAAACACTAATTTAAAAAGATATGCACCCCTATGTTCATATATGGAAACAACCTAAGTGTCCATCAGTGGATGAACGGATAAAGAAGATTTGGTGTGTGTGTGTACGTGTATATATATATATATATACACGTACACACACACAGTGAAATACTACTCAGCCATAAAAAAGAATGCAATCTTGCCATTTGTGACAAAATGGATGGACCTTGAGGAATTATGCTAAGCAAAGTAAGTGAGACAGAGAAAGACAAATACTGTATGATTTCACTATATTTGAAATCTAAAAAAGAAACAAAACAAATGAAGAAACAAAACAAAATAAAAATCCTGAATACAGAGAACAGAAAGGTGGTTGCCAGAGGCAAGCAGTGTTCTGGAGTGAGTGAAATGTGTGCAGTGGGTCAAGAGGTACAACTTCCAATTATAAAATAAATAAATCAAGGGGTTGTAATGTACAGCATGATGCCATTAATCAATAATATTGTAGAGCATAATTGGAAGTTGCTAAGAGAGTAAATCCTGAAAGTTAACTTTGTATGGTAACAGATGGTAACTAGACTTTGGTAATCATTTTCCAATGCATACAAATATCAAATCATTATGTTGTACACCTGAAACCAATATAATGCTATATGTCAATTATACCTCAATAAACTTTTTTAAAAAGTCCTACTTTTCTCCAAAAAAGATTTATACCAGCTTAAAGCAAAAGACACAAGATAAAAAACAAACAAATAAGCAAACAAAACAGACATATACACTAATGGAAAAGAATCAAGAGCCCAGAAATAAACACACACATATACAGTCAACTAATATTTGACAAGTGAGCCAAGAATCTCTTCAATCAGTTTTGGGAAAACTGGATATTCACATACAAAAGAATGAATTAGGACCTATTCTTACACCACTCACAAAAATTAACTCGCAATGGATTAAAGACTTAAATTTAAGACCTGAAACTATGAAATTCCTAGAAGAAAACATAGGGATAAAGCTCCTTGACATTGGTCTTAGCAATGATTTTTTGGATCTGACACCAAAAGAACAAGCAACAAAATAAAAAATAAACAAATGGGACTACATTAAACTAAAAACCTTCTGTAAAGCAAAAGAAGCAATCAACAAAATGAAAAGACAACCTATGGAATGGGACAAAATATTTGCAATCTGTCTGTCTGATAAGGGGTTAACATCTGAACTATGTAAGGAACTCATACAACTCAAAAGCAAAAAAACAAATAATTTGATTAAAAAGTGGGCAGAGAACTTGAATAGACATTTTTCCAAAGAAAACATACATTGACCAGCAGCACATGAAAAGATGTTCAAGATCTCTAATCATCGGAGAAATGCTAATAAAAATCACAATGAGATATCTCCTCGTGCCTGTTAGGATGGCTATTGTCAAAAACACAAGAGACAGCAAGTGTTGTAGAAGATGTGAAGAAAAGGGAACCTTTGTGCACTGTTGGTGAGAATGTAAATCGGGGCAGTTGCTATAGAAAACAGTATGGAGGTACCTCAAAAAATAAGAAATAGAATTACCATATGATCAAGCAATCCCACTTCTGTATATATATATTTCTGAAGGAAATGAAATCACTGTTTCAAAGAGATATCTGCATCCCCATGTTCATTGCAGTAGTATTTACAACTGCCAAGGCATGGGAAAACCTAAGTGTCCGTTGATAGATGAATGGTAAAGATGTGGTATGTAAATATAATGGAATATTATTCAGCCATAAAAAAGAGGGGGATCCTACCTTTTATAGCAACCTGGATGGACTTTGAGACCGTTATGCTAAGTGAAATGTCAGACAGAGAAAGACAAATATTGTATATTCTCACATGTGGAATCTAAAAAACCAAACTCATAGAAATAGAGTAGAATAGTGGTTATCTTGGGCTGGGGTGTGGGGGAAATGGTGAGATGTGGATCAAAGGGTATAAACTTCTAGTTATAAGATGAATAAGTTTTGGGGATCTAATGTACATCATGGTGACTGTAATTAACAGTGCTGTATTATGTATTGGAAAGTTGTTAAGAGAGTAAATCTTAAATGTTATCACCACAAAAAAAAAGGTAATTATGTGAGGTGATGGATGTGTTTACAAACCTTATTGTGGTCATTTCACAATATAGATATGTATCGAATCATCACATTTTACCTTAAACTTACATATGTTATGTGTCAATTATATCTCAATAAAGCTGGGAAAAAAAGAAAAAGACATTAGATAAAAACGAAGGAAATTTGAATAAAGTTTGTAATAATCTATCAATATTGGTTCATTAGCTGCAAGAAATGTACAATACTGACATAAGATATTAAGAATAGAGGAAACTAGGTGTGGGGTCTATGTGAACTCTCTTTACTATCTTTACAACCTTTCTATAGATAGAAAACTATTCTAAAGTAAAAATTTTACTCAAATAGAAAAATATTTAAAACCAGTGGGCCCCATTTGAGTTACAGGTCCCTTGTTAGAGATGTGCTGAAACTCCTGGATAAATAAGTAATTTCTAGTTAGATACTCACATATATAAATACTTCTGTAGCTATTTCTACGAATGTCTTTTCGTTAGTGTCAAATCAGGTTGCTATTAGAATATGAGCCACTTAATACAAATGCAGTCCGCCATTTTGATCCTGAAAGTGCGCCATCTCTTTGTGTAGTGTCCTGGCGGGTTACAATGGCACCATCTTTGCATACGGGCAAACAGGCAGCGGTAAGACATTCACCATCACGGGGGGCGCAGAGCGCTACAGTGACAGAGGCATTATCCCAAGGACACTGTCGTACATTTTTGAGCAACTACAAAAGGTATGAAACTTCAATTTCTTTTTAATTTGAAATATTCAGCAGAAATTTACTGCAGGTGGAAAATTTATTGTGACATTTTATTATATTGTATGTAAAAGAGGAAGTACTATTGTGTAATAACTCTGGCCTTTACATTTAAGGAAAGTTTGGGATTTTGCTGAAGAAGTGGAAATTAAGAAGGTGCTTCTCATTAAAGGGATGCTGTTTCAGCAGAGGCTCAAAGGGATCCTCTGATACACCCATGGAGGTTAAAAGGACAGATAGCACATTTTGCCAACTAATATCTTATGTTTCTCATTAAGAAACCCATGAATATCCTTTTACCAAAATGGACCTATATTTTAGTTACTAAAGCACTGAATAGGATAATGTTACTGTACCTTTTTCACACTTTTAATAGATGCCCAGAGGAATTTACCAGAGTAAAAATCCTATTGCAATTAATATTATTATAAAGAAGAGATTCCCATCTATATTATATATACCATTTACTGTGTAGCTCCAAGTGTCTGTTGCTTTATCAGTATTTAATACAACATATAATACAACTACAAGTTAGAGATCCTTATCCTCATTTTATAGTTGGGAAAACTGAGTCTCAGGTTAAATATCTTTCTCTGGGTCCTTATAAGTAGCTGATCTGGAGGTCCATTCCTGGTCTGTGTGATGCCAAATTCTGTGCTTTTTACCGTTACTTACACTGCCTCTGTCTCTCAGACTGGCTTTATTTTGTTGGTTGTGTTTAAACAAATTCTCTACAATGAGTCCTTTCACTTCTCCGGGTTTCTGTCCTGCCCTCTGTGAAAGTAGGGAATGGATTGTACCAGAGGATCTCCAGCATCTCTATTAGTTCCAACAGTTCCTTGGTTGTATTAATTCTGTATAACAAGTGTCCTAACTAGGGCAGTGGGCCAGTCATTCCAAAATTTCTCAACTGTCTGCTGTTTGCATTTTGAGTTGGAAAGATGAGAAGAAATCGCTGAGATCTGCATAATTCTAATTTCCATCCATAAAGTAGCAATTACCCATTAGTTCAGCTCATCTCTCATTAGCTCAGGCACGCCGTCTCTCCATGCAAGAAAATTTGGAAGAGAAAAGGTTGAGTATAGTGTCTATGTTGCATCCAAATCCCTTCTTTTCACTTATGCATTTATTTCTGATGTTAGTTGTTTTGTTTGTTCCCAGATTTCACAACTGGGAATATAATTTGTAGTAGTTTTTGTTGCTGTGGCCCTAACGTGGAAGCTTGTTGTCTTGGAAAGATCATTGAGGTTGGTGTAGGCTGACCTTGTTCCGAGAAAGTCTACTGCTTCCAGCATGTGGTTTGGGGTGCTTACTGAATGTCTCAGGCTTGTGGCATTCACGTGAAGGCTGAATATACTGTATTCAAAGATATTGTGCACTTCCTGGCACATAGTAGACACTCAATACGTGGTAGTGTTACTACAGCCATTGATATCCATATGTGTATATGCACATGGCCAAATGATTTCTGACCAGTTCCAAAGAACTCTTTGAAACTCAGAACTAATGAAGCCAATTCTCCTGATTAAGTTAAACAGAATGAACAAATCCCTTGCTAATAGGAAATAGATTTGTCACTTTTAAAATTTCACCTAAATTTTATTTATCGAATACAGTTACCAATAAACAGTTCTAAAAGTCTAAATGTCTCCCAAGTACCTCCCATCTTTTGGGTTCATTGTCTTATGTCTGTTTGTCGTTGACATTGCCCTAAACCCCGTTTCATTCTGAATGATCCTAAATAACTTCCTGGACTTGGAGAGCGCCCATAGGACCAATTTATAGCCGGGCCAACTCTTCGAAATGGACAGATTTCTACAATGGGGCACAACGCATTTATTATGATCAAACTGAACTGCTGTGAAACAAGTCAGAGGCAACTTGAGGTTCATCATGGAGATTGTCCGCATTGTATAGCTGAAAAATGCAAAAGATGCCCCAGTTGATTGCTTTAAAAGGCCACATGGAGCTCTCTAGAATTCTTAAAGGAAACATTTGACTTACTTATGGAAAGTACGTATTTCAAGATAAACTAAGAGCACAGTCCATACTGGGTCCTAAAATGTCTGTGAGTGTGATAGGAGCACATTTTCAGTGATTTTAAAAGAAGAAAATTGATTCCATTTATTTTAGAAATCACTGCTTATTATTTTTGAGTATTGTGAGGTTCAAACTTGTTTTGGGGCAAGAGAAAAGGCTGTCTGCAGGAAACATATGTGTTACATTATAGTCTGGCAATCCTAAACACTAAAAGAGGAGTAATAAGGAAAGGTAGCTTGCCACATAGCTCAGTGAATTTTAAGTGTGTATTCCAATAAAAGCCCAGAAAATGCAGAAGCTAAAGGAGCCAAAGCATTATCCCTATCATCTCAGGACAGGGGACCTGCCATTTTCCTGAGTTTTTATGATTTCTCCTAATTTCTGGAAGAAGAGAGTTTCCCCACTGCAGACGAATATACAATTTAGCTGGGTTTTTTTGTCTTTCTTTTCCTTTCCTTTTATATTCATATACTGAATTCTCCATTTGGAGGCTTTTAGAAATAATAATAAAAATCAATAACAACAGCAATAATAACAGCAACAGCAATGATTTATTGGTGTCTGTTATGGGCCATACATTCTTGGTAGGATTTTAAATACAGAATCTATTTCTCTGTCACAGCAGTTCTGCCATCTAAGGGTAATTATCCCCATTTTAATAGTTAAACAACTGAAGAGAAGAGTGTAAGATCACTCAGTTTAAATGGCAGATCCAGATTCAAACCCACTTTTGTGTGTAATGCTAAGATGAGCTCAGAACTGTATGCTAAAATCCCATCCATAATCCAGGGTGTGTTTCAGATATGTTCGGGTAAGTTTTAGAAATATGTTGTTTTAAACAAGATTTCAGGGTGTTGCTAAATCATCCTTCATAACCTTTAATGTTCTCTGAGAATTTTCCAGAGAAAAGCAGTATATATGTTGACCATGGAATCCCTTTTCCCCGTGAGTATTTCCTGGAATATTTTAGCAAATACTGGATTAGACTGAAGCCCACACAGAGTCTGTCTCATATTTATAGTTTCTGACACCTGCACTAAGCCAAGCTTCAACCCAAAGAATTATGTTGAAATGATGCCTTTGCTAAACTAGGATACTAATGTAATCGATAGACCATTTGTCTTGATGAGCAGCCAGAGTCACTCACATCAGCAGGATTTCCAGCATTTGGATGGGAGAAATTTGCTTGGTAGAGATTCAGTCCATGCTGGCACCACAGACTATCAGAATGTGGAATTTCAGCTGTGGCCTGAGTGTTTTACTATAGTCATGTGCTGGCTGAGAGTTGCCGTAATTTTTCATGTACTGTTTTGTTTTTATGAAATGGTAGTATCTTTATTTGAATAGTTTGAGCCATTTTAGGACCAGAGAACCATATTAATTTTAATCTGAAGAGCACGTAGGGAGTCATCATCCAACTTCCCCACTTTAATGGGTGTGGAAACTGAGGCCTCACGTGATAGGGGCTCATAGCTAGTAGCACTAAGATTCCAGCTTTGGATTTGCAGGTCTCTATTCACTCCCTCATCTCTATGTCTTGGTCCTCTCTCCCTCTGAATAATACCTTTTAAAGGAGTTGTCTTAAATATGGGTGAGAATCAATCAGGAAGGTCATCCTAAGCAATCCTCTCTGTGAGTATCTACTCTGACCTTCTTGCCACAAGACACTAATATATTCTCCTCTTATGAGAAGCAGGATAATATTTTCAGAAATGGAAGCATTTGTATTTTGGGAGATATAAGAGGAGGGTGCTATTATTTGATATTTTGTATTGAAAACTGAACTTGGAATTTTCTCAAGCACTGAAAACACTCAGTTTCATTCCATGCCAAAAGGAGTAGGTCCTTTTAGTCTGTTGGCAGAACTGAGACTAGGAACAAATACCTTGACTTTTATCCTAATTTCACTGGTGCCTATGTCATTGCATTTTAGTAGTGTTCCAAAGAAAATGTTTTCCTCTTGTCATGAGCCGAATATCTCTAAATTGCCACCTGGGCCAAGAAAATTAACCCAACAGATAAGGTATAGGCAGTGAACTGCTAATGTCCACTCTGACTGTTACCTGATTGATCTAAACTGTTTTTGTCCCCTAGAATTCACTTTCCATTATCTATTTAATGTCTGTTATCTATTTATGTCATCAGAAAATTTGAATATTAGCAAAGTAAAAAAAATTATGATTAAAGATGGAAACTCTTGCTACTGGAGTTTTTAAACTGAAGTAATAATTCTGTGTTCTTTTATGAATAGGCTGTTCACAGAATGTAAGTTTATTTTTTTCTTAGTAACCTTATTTTTTTGGTCTGGAAAGTAAAAAATGGTGTATTATACAGTTCTGCAACCAAGTTGGCTCATTTAAGTATATATTGACTTTTTATGTATAATGTGGAACAATAAAAAACAATAGACTAAAGTTGCTTGTAATCACGGGTGTTGGCCATTAAAAAGAAAAGCTTCATGCATATGGTAACTGGCAACTTGAAAGTGTCACGAACTGAAAATTTAAACCATACAAAGTGAGAGAGGAGAGAAACTGAGAGGAAACTACAGTGATAAATGTGTTCATCTTCCTCTAAGCTGAATCGTTATTTATAGCCATTAAATAATGCCTTTCCCTTTTCCAATCAGGACAGCGGCAAAATATATACAACACACATTTCCTATTTGGAAATCTACAATGAATGTGGTTATGATCTATTGGATCCAAGACATGAAGCCTCCACTTTGGAAGACTTGCCGTGAGTAGCAGAACAACAAAGAATGGGGGGAAAATTACTTTCAGATGTTCTCTTCAATTGTTTTCTTTGAAACTTTGTATGTTTCTGGTCTCAATCGTAATTAACAAATACTGGATAACAGAATCTTTTTTAAATACAATGGATATTTTTCCAGTTATGGCAAACAGACAGTAGTGATGGGAACTAAAATTGCTTAAAACTCATTTCTTGGGAAACTCTCTTGGAATTGCTACAGGAGAATGCAGTGAATGTTCTCGGAGAGTGGGTGCAGAGAGGATTGATGGGATGTGGCAGCACTACTTTACTCTTGCCGTGTGAAACCCTTTCACTCCTCTAATTGTGGCCTTTCTCTGAAGAAGGTATTAAAATTAGGGTTTAAGCAGCAATAAGAGAAACTCAAAGAGAAAATAAAACATTAAGTTTTCCCCGAATTTTTCTTTAGTATTATTAGACTAACACTGACAATCATTTGGTCAGATTGGCACTGATTGTTTCATGACTGAAATATGAATAGAGTCTTCAGAGCTTATCTATTAGTGGAATAAGTTACCCTGCCAGCATTTATATAACATTACTCACTGCATGTTTGAATATCTGCCTAAATTAAACATATCAATTGGTAACAATTCATTTACTTTTGTCCAGATATCTTCATATATCAGAAGTTGCTAGAGCCAGGGAAATATGTCTTAGTATTCTTCTTATTAAATATTCTGAAACAATTGTAAAATACGTATTAATCCTCTACCAAAAAGATCAGCAACCAGTTGCTTATTTTAATTTGCAAAGGAAAGAAAAAGAAATAATAAAGAAAATGTTATAGTCTTTACATCACCTTGTATGCATTCTTCCATTAATGTTGATTGAGAGTTTTTATATATCATCTCTTTTATGCTAACAATATTCATTAGAGGGAGTTCAGAGACAATTATTGTTGGTACTCTAAATATTTGTATAAGAATTAAGAGAAAGGAAAGATTACTGACTCCGTGGAAGAAATTAGTCCTGAAGAAACTTTTGGAGTTAAGTTCACAAAAAGGTAAAACTTTCCTCATAGGAAGGGTGGGAACAACAACATTAAGGACATGAAGGTGTGGTCAGAAAGGCATGTGTTGAGGACTCATGTGGAATAAAATAGAAAGGCCTACTGGAGCCAGCTTTTGAGGGCCTTGAAAGACCGATTTTCGGGGTAAGATTGATCTTTGCTTTAACAGCCTTCTTAATTAGTTTTCTAGCCTCTAGTCTAACCTATATACCTCTAGGCTAAATCTTACTTAAAATTGCTTTTACAAGTCACATCTGCACTGAAGAGCTTGATGCCTGCTTAGCAATAATCCAGGAAGGAAGGGCTTGGCTATGATGAACATGGATGAAGAGAGGTACATCTGAGAGATATGCAAAATAAAAAAAAGAAAGAAAATTAATTGATTGTGCCTAGCACCTTGGATTTGCTTGGATTTGAAAAGAAGGTGAATCACAGCAGGTTGATGCTCTCCTCATTTTACTAATTGAGAAGAGTAAGCCCAGAGAGGTATGACTTGCCCAGGGTTTCAGAACTAATTGGTTAACGGTAGAGCAAGGATTAAAAACCAGATACTCTCACTTTCACACAAGAGTAGCAAAAGTAGGTTCAAGATTTTACCACAGGCCTGGAGAATTAAGGAGTGATTGACCTAAAAATGAGATTTCCATTAGAAAACCTGATTGGGTGGTGATGATGAGTTTCTCATGTATAACTGGTGTGTAAGAATACTGTACTAGATGTTTACATTTCTAATAAATTCCTCAGAGCTAGGAAGTATGCCCTTCTTGAGTTGGTAGTCTCTCTACCACCTAGGCCAAAGGTAGTCCTTAATATTTTAAAAAACATATCTGTTAAATTGACACTATGAAGTAGACTTTTTGAAGATGACAGGTAAAGGAAAACAGCATGAGCTCTATGAATCTGAGTCTAATTGATGTAATTAGATGCAGCCTCATTATGGGAAGAACTATAAATGAGAAAAGTCCATTGAACTCTAAGAGAAGTTGTGTAATACAGAGGAAAGAGCACTTGATTAGAAGTCAGAAAATTTGGGTTCTAGTCCAACCCTACAATCTTAGATAAATTTTTCCACTTTTCTGGGTTTCTCTCTGTGTGTAAAATCCAGGCATTGGATTATATAATATTTAACAACCTTCCAACCTCCAATGTCAAAGATTGGCGACCTCACAGGATAAGACTAGTTTGGTGATTCTTCTCCCCTTCACAAAAGAATGAAATGTTATTTAGATATTTTTCTATCATCCTCTGAGAAAAGAGCCATAAGCCTCTTGAGAGCAAGGACAATGCCTTAATTCACTGTAAGTCTCTGCATTTCCCAGCATGCCTGCCGTTTAATAATGGTTCTCAATGTTGGTCAGATTGTCTCTATGGATGATGCTAGTTTTCTCTCTTAAACTACTGCTCCTTCTTTAGTAGCTTTGCCTTCTTGTTGGAGAATGAGTTCGCTGACTCAAGTCAGAAGTGACCTCAGTTGCAAAACAGATGTTTTCAATGAACTACCACACACATGCAAAAGTGGTTTGAAAGAGGCTCTTATCTTACATTTTGGACTATAATTTATGACCAAAAAAATCATTAAAATGAAAATGAGGAGATTTTCATCAAGAAAGGATATTCCCATATCCCAGTACGATAGCCTATTTACTTCAAATATATTCAGTACTATAACAAAACAACTCTAGAATTACATAGTCTTTTGGTGTGGGGATGAGATTTGACTGGTATTGAGTCTACTAGTTGTCTGGGGATTTTGGAGGGTCTGCCTTTTACTAAGATTATAAAGTAATCTTTATAACAGAATGTGACTTTTGCTATACCTGGATTGGATTAAGGCTATGCACTGTTAATCTGGTTTCACACACTCTTGAACTGGAACAAGCTCTAACTCTGAAAAACTGGCTGGCTGGTTGACTGGTTTTGTTGTTGCAAACTGGAGTGTCCCAAACACTCTGAATACCATCCAAAAATAATAGGCAAAATGTCTGTTGACCTTGTAGTCATCCATTTGAGGGACAATGGCAGTATATACATTTGATCCCCTCCACATTTTTACACTTGGTTTACTCATGTAAAATCAAATTCAAGATCATTTTGATGTTGCACAACAACCATCAGCAACAAATTTCTTATCCCTGAGCAACATAGCTTCCCCCAAATCACCTGCTGGATGCTCATCTCACATGCACTCTGCCTTTTCTGTTTCTTTTTCTTTTACATTCTTGTGAGTTCCACCTCTCTGTTGTTGCAAAAACGTTTGCAAGTGGCCTACCTGTGGACTTTGTATATATGATGTCAGGGCACCAGACTAAAGTCAATTGCTTTTTGCAAAGTTGCTATAGTCATTTGGCAGTGAGTTGTGTGTGTGTGTGTGTGTGTGTGTGTGTGTGTGTGTATGTGAGAGAGAGAGAGAGGAAGATTGGCCCTGAGCTAACATCTCTTGCCAATCTTCCTCTTTTTGCTTGATGAAGATTGTTGCTGAGTGAACATCTGTGCCAATCTTCCTCTATTTTATGTGGGATGCCACCACAGCATGGCTTGACAAGTGGTGTTAAGTCTGTGCCTGGGATCCAAACCTGCAAACCTGGGCTGCTGAAGCGGAGCATATGAATTTAACCACTATATCACTGGCTGGCCCAAGCAGTGAATTTTTAGATACAACACCCAAAGCATGATCTGTGAAAGAAAAAATAGATAAATTGAACTCCGTTAAATTTAAAACTTTTGCTCTCTGAAAGACACTGTCAAGAGAATAAAAAGACAAGCCAGACGCTAAGAGAAAATATTTACCAAACACACATCTGATAAAGGGCTTGTATCCAAAATATACAAAGAACTCTTAAAACTCAACAATAAGGAAACAAACAACCCAATTAAGAAATGAGCAAAAGATCTGAACAGATACCTCACCAAAGAAGATATACAGATGGCAAATAAACATATGAAAATATGCCCAACATCATCCGTCATTAGGGAATTGCTAATTAAAACAACAAGATACCACAACACATCTTTTAGAAAAGCTAAAATCCAAAAAACCTGCAATAACAAACGCTGGCAAGAATGTGGAGAAACAGGAACTCTCATTCATTGCTGGTGGGAATACAAAATGGTACAGCCACTTTGGAAGACAATTTTTAGTTTCTTACAAAACTAACCATAGTCTTATCATATGATTCAGCAATGACACTCCTAGGTATTTAACCAAATGAGTTGAAAATTTATGTCAGCACAAAAATCTGCCCATGAATGGATATAGCAGCTTTATTCATAATTGCCAAAAACTGGAAGCAACCAAGATGTCCCTCAATAGGCAGATAGAAAAACAAACTGTGGTGCATCCATGCAGTGGAATATTATTTAGTGATAAAAAGGAATGAGCTATTAAGCCAAGAAAAGACATGGAAGAACCTTAAATGCGTATTGCTAAGTGTAAAAGCCTGTACAAAGAGGCTGCATACTGTATGGTTCCAATTTTATGGCATTCTGGAAGAGGCAGAACTATAGAGACAGTAAAAAGACCAGTGGTCCCAGTGGTTATAGAGGGGAGAGGTTGCAGGATGAATAGGTGAATAGCACAGAAGATTTGAGGGCAGTGAAACTATTCTATATGATACTGTAATAGTGGACACCTGACATTATGCATTGTCAAAACCCATAGAATTTACAACACAAAGAGTGAACCCTAGTGTAACCTATTTATTAACCTTTAGTTAATAAAACGGCAATAACAAAAAGGAATGAACTATTGATACATTTAATAACTTGAATGAATCTCCAGGGAATTATGCTGAGTGAAAAAAGCTGATCCCAAAAGGTTATATGCTATGTGATTTCATTTATGTAATATTCTTTTTTCCTCTTTTTTTATTGCAGTAACATTGGTTTATAACATTATATAAATTTCAGGTGTACACCATTATATTTCGACCTCTGTGTAGATTGCATCATGTTCAGC